TTTCTTCAGTATCCCCAATCCTAAAGGAGTGTCTAATTTGTAGGAGGCACTCTATACATATTTGTTAAATAACTGAAGAATGGAATAAAATGAAATCTGTCAGTTCTGTGTACTTACAGGAAAGGAAATAAAGTTGATAGCATGTTTGTTTTTGAGTATACAGTCTCCAGACTAATTTTGAAGCTTAAGGAGAGAGATGGGCTGTAGGAAGAAGCTGAACGTTTATTGCCATCATGAGTTTTGTGTGACACAGAACACTGATAATGCTGCCTAGATCCTCACATGCACTATAATGGAGAAGAGTGTGTCTCCAAATTCTGGAAGAACTGGAGCACCATAAGGACTCAAAGGCATTGATGGCAGTTCCCACAAGAACTGACGCTCAGGAAGCGACGAAACATGAATTGTCCATAGGATGACACCCAGGGGATTCTACTGGAGTAGCAGCAGTGACAGTGAAAGTCACCTCATTCATGAAAACATGTGGGGCATCTTCTTACGATTCTTAGAATAACTAATGGGGGATACTTTTTAATAGGCCCCGTGTCACCAACATGGAGGCAATAATCCATCAAAACTGGGGTATTGACTTAATTATAACTTAATTTCTTTTACCCACAGACTGGTAAAATTGGAGGCAAATTTGACTTATAGGAGTTATTTATAGGTTACTTTCAGAAAAGCTTTATACCTCTTCCTTTAAAATTGTTTTTAATTAATAATTTAAAAATCTTCATCATGTGCCTCAAGTTTAAATGAAATAAGGTTTTAATAAACATAAAAACCTTTAAATTTAGGAAGTGTCCCTTTCTGCCATCCAAGCTTGGCTTACAGAAATAAAGAAAAGCTAGAGACAGAATTAATGGCAGTGGATTTACACCAGTATGCAGTATACTGGTTTCTGCTGGAAAGAGTATGAACTTTGAAATCATACAGACTTGGATTCAAATCATGTCTCCACCTCTTTGGCTGTATGTGGTTTTAGGCAAATTTCTTAACTTTACTGAGTCTCTGTTTCGTCAATATTTAATGAGATTAATCAATCAGCTTGTTTAAGGAGTACTTCACAAGTTTTTAAATATGTAATAGGCTATTGATATATGATGGTTATTAATTATGGTCAGTATTATTATTTTTGAGACTGAAATGTAGAGATCAGAAACCTAGTGAGCTTCAGGGGAAAAAATAACCATAGAATTTTCCAAATATTAAGCATGAGTTTCTCAGTCATGTCAATTTTCTAAGAGTTTAATTTCTTATAATTTAAAATTAAGGTAAAATGGCTTCTTAAGGCTTTCTAGAAAAATTATTTGATGCATCTTTTTAATTTAAAGATTTAGATGTGACCATTTTGCATTTCCACAGATATTTCATTGACATTAAAACAGTTCGTTTTGTCCCACTCTGAAAAATTAAAATTCAAATGGACTGAGTCGTGGCTCTGAAAGCTGGTGCACAAGAGTCAGAAGACCTGGAAGGAGAAGCAGACACCAGTGAACTCACTCATACTGACTTTCTAGCAGGGATGCTGACACAGAAATTTCCTCCCATGGGTGTCCATGCACAGCATAGATAGTAACTTACACTACAGGACTTTAGAGAGGCAACATGGTTGCAGAGTCAGACAGACCCATGTTCTATCTCAACTCCCTTACCAACTAACTGGGTTACTTTGGACAAATTACTTAACATTTCAGAGCCTCATTATCCACCTTGCAAAAGTTAGTAACAATAGTATCCACCTCAGAAGATGGTTCTGGTACATGAGATAATTTACATAAAGTACCCAGTCTGTGTGCCTTGACATGTGCTAATTTCTTTCCCCTCCGAGTTTTACTGATGAAGAGGCTGAAGTGCCAAAGGTTAGGGGGCTTTACCTAGCGTAATGATGGTGAACAAGATGGGAAATGGGCCAACCAGATTCCAGTTTAACAAAAATTAGACTTTAGGTAGCCACAGAGAAGCATGAAAGCCAAAGAATCACCATAAAGAGCCAAGACCCAACCTTGGCCATCTCAAGGGAATTAGCAACAGGGCCACTGAAGCCTTATTCCACCTGTTCATTTTATTTGGGGCCCATTAGCATGCTTTCTATGAGAGGTACTGGGTCATCTGGAAGATGAGAAGCACTTGGATCTTGTTGCTACTGTAATACATAAAGCTTCAGAATGATTATTGAAGGAAAACAGTCTCAGAATGATTTCTACTTGTAGTGGGCTGAATAGTGTCCCCCCCACCCCCCAATTTCATTTCGGTATGTGTCCTTTATTTGGAAATAGGGTCTCTGCAGCTATGGTTAGTAAATGTGAGGTCAAACTGGATAAGGGTGAGTCTTAAATCCTAAACCCAATGACTGGTGTCCTGAGGAGAAGAGGAGAGGGCCCACGGGGAGAGGGGGCAGAGACTGCAAAGATGCAGCTACTGGTCAAGGAGCACCAAGGGTTGATGGGAGTCACAAGAAAGAGGCCAGGAAGGATTCTTCCCTAGAACCTTCAGAGTGAAAATGACCTTACTGAAACTTTGATTTCAGACTTCCAGCCTTCAGAACTGGGAAAGAATAAATGTCTGTTTTAAGCCACCAAGTTCGTGGTCATTGGTGATGGCTGCCCTAGGAACAAACGCACCACTCCACAGCATAATGGGATTGTGGGCATTTTCACAGGATCTTCCCTCAAGCAATGACGACTTTTCTTTCTTCTCTTCAGTTCCTTTTTGTTTCACCAAGTTTTCTCCCTGCCACACTCATGACCTTCAGGACTCCAGGTTCTGGTCCTGTTCTATTTTCCACTTCCCAGTGAGAGCATGTATTCCCTAAACTCCGTATGCAATGAGCTCATTGAGTAAAACCAGCATGCGGAGGGGCTGAGAGAATGCCCAGCCTCAGGTTCCTCCTCCTGCCTCCAACCAGCTGTCACTAAAAGATGTACATGAACACCAGCTTTGCTACCACACAGGTTACTGAGTTTAAAATATGATAAGCGGCACTTTTTACAATAGCCAAAACATGGAAACAGCCTAAATGTCCATCAACAGGTGACTGGATAAAGAAGATGTGGTATATTTATACAATGGAATACTATTCAGCCATAAAAACTGACAACATAATGCCATTTGCAGCAACATGGATGCTCCTGGAGAATGTCATTCTAAGTGAAGTAAGCCAGAAAGAGAAAGAAAAATACCATATGAGATCACTCATATGTGGAATCTAAAAAACAAAAACAAAACAAAACGAACAAACAAAAAAACAAAGCATAAATACAAAACAGAAATAGACTCATAGACATAGAATACAAACTTGTGGTTGCCAAGAGGGTGGAAGGTGGGAAGGGACAGATAGGATTTCAAAATTGTAGAATAGATAAACAAATTATACTGTATAGCACAGGGAAATATACACAAAATCTTATGGTAGCTCACAGAGAAGAAAATGTGACAATGAATATATATATGTTCATGTATAACTGAAAAATTGTGCTGAACACTGAAATTTGACACAACTTTGTAAAATGATTATAAATCAATAAAAAATGTTAAAAAAATAAAATATGATAGATGAGGAAGGGCCTTGTAAAAGTGAAGGCTCAATTAAACTTGTAAGAAGTTATTCCATTATTATTAAAAATCTCGCTGAAGATAAAGGACCTGGCAAATGGAAGCTGTGCATGTCTGATCTCAGAGTCATTCTGATAACCCTTCTCTCCTCCAGGTCTTCACCTCATGCCTTTACTTCATTGACTTGATTCACAGGAGGAAGCGCCAAGCTTTGTCTTAATTTCTGGGGAGTGAAGCTTTTAATACAGTTCCTGACAACCCCAGAAATGGGGCCAGGCCTCCCACTACAGGCAAGACGAAATGTCAGGGGGATATGAAATGCTGGCTGTATTTCTTAACTTCTTGACTTTTCAAGACTTGAACTATCAGGAACACAGTACTTAAATTCAATTTATTGGCAAACATCTTCAGAGATTTTGGCATCATGGAACTTTAATATTTTAAAAAATAAAGGAGCTTAGCCAAGGAGGAAATTTTTAACAGTATACCTAGATTTTTAAAGTAAAAAAAAAAAAAATCCTGTATTTAACTGGTGTGTAGCCAATGGTCAATCTTAATTTAAATGGCAGTGAAGGAAGTGAAATAATTAAAACCCAGTCAAGTAAGTAACAATTAGACAAATAATTTTACCTCTAATCATTAAACTCCTAATTTATGTCATTTTTTCATACATTATTTATAGTATTTCATCAATTTTAAAACACACTTTTTTTCCCCACATTTTAACGTGTATAAAATCAGGATGTGTCTTGTAGTCAACGCTGCCTTTCATTTGTAACTGCCAGGGCTTGTTGTTTTATTTTCCTATCTGAGTAGTACTTAAAATGTAGGCGCATTTTATGACTGAGGAGTCTTATGAAATATGGTGCTTGATTTAATGAAGATGGAAACTGTGAGACCTGTAGTTAAATTTGTTTTTCTTCTTATAATGTTACATCTCAATGTAACAAGTGTGATACATTTTCTGCCTCAGAAATACATGCTTGCACTGTTTGCTATAGAATTCAGTCATTTGTTGTTTTGAGAACAAATGCATCATTAGAAAGAGAGGATATCATTTTAAGGCTGAAGAATAGAAAGAGACTAAATTTAGAAGCAAAAGCAAAATTCAGTATGAGGAAAAATTAAACAATTTCATTTTCATAATTACATCCTTGCAAAATGTCTTCCCAGAACCCAGTGAGTTTTCTGCTAGTCTGAGCTAACAGCATGGCACGGGTCCTGCTTACCAGCCCCCGACCTGCTGCTGGATAACACCTATCCTTTCTGAGCCTCAGTCTTATATGTCAAACAAAGAGATTGAGCTGAATGGTTTCTGAGATCTGTTCCATTTCTAGGAAACTCTGATAATTCTCATTTTAAGAAGAGCTATTCACACAAACATTTAAATACGTCTCCTACTCAAGTCCACCAAAGCATAACTCTTTTGGGTTCTCTTGTCTTACCAACGTGGTCGATGAAGGGCTGAAAGTTCTCATTTACGGAGACACTACAAAGAAACAAAAGTATTGTGAGTCAAGCAACGTGTGTAAATAAATTATGCTAAATTGCTTTTTAATTAAACAGACAAGAGTAAATGTAGAGTAAGGCTTTATGACAAGAAGGCTTTTGGAAACCAATGAACAGCCAAGGACTGAAATAATATTATTTTATTTTGCACTTTTAAACCATTATATAACTTTTGCAATAATAGAGCAATCCTTCAAACATCCAGTTAAAATGAAAACCCCCATACGTCACACCTTGGCCCAGCAGGGTTACCCACTTTGTTTTCATGGATCTTCGCAAGAGAGATGTGTAAGAGCATAAAGAAATACTTACAAGGATCCAGAGTCCAGCCACTGCTGAATACTTCCTCGTTTGGAATCTTCTACAAATAAAAAACAGACCAGTCAGTCAAAACACAACCTGCCAAAATGACCCTGCCCCATTATTCAGCCACCACCTAATAGATTTGTTTCCTAGTATTTACTCACGTATTTCTATAAGCATATTCATTTCCCCCACCCAAGGCAAAACTTCCTGTTTTCCATAATCAGCTTTTCCTGAAAATGAAGAACTTGCCAAAAGACTAACTTAAAAAGAGACACAGAAAGCAAATATGGTAAAAGAGAAAAAAAAATCATGAGAGATAAAGAACTGTTAGAGTAATTTTAAATTACCTGGTGTGAGTATGAAGGGTGAAAAAAAGTACAGGAGACTTTTGTCTTTCTCTTGTCGGGTATAAATCACATGGAGCCTCTCTTTCCTGAATCACATTTACCTAAGGCAGCTAGCCAGTGATGTTTATTTGCAAGCAGTTCTCTGCCAGGTTAGAAACCAAATTTGCATTCATTCCAGGGACAAACTGCACCAGAATCTCAGGAATGCCAAAGGCACCCTGTGGTAAAGGGGCACCCGTCTTTTAAGGTGGATCTTTATCTCTGGCTCAACAGATAGTCAACAGGCAAAAAGGGAAGGATACAAAAGCAGCATTTCCTGTAAATATTTGTTTCCATTCTGGTTGGTTACAGGCCAACCAGTGAGGTACAGGCCAAACAGTGAGGTACCAGAATTACCCCCTTACAAGGTGTCTGATGAACAAAAAAGGGCAAGTGGATATGGGAGGTGCTTAGTCTTCAGCTGAGGTACCGTGAAGGGACAGCATGAATTGGGTGGTGGGAAAAGAAGGAAAACCATCAGATAGCTATATCATAAACAAATATACAAATAAGTAAGAAATCACAGTGGAAGGAGAAGTGTTTTTCTATTACTCCTTAAATTATTAAAATTATTATCAATAACTTATGCAAGACCCAGCAAAGAGAGCTTTTCATTAAAATGTGTGATGTCCTGCAAGAAGACTCATGACTCTGGTATGGACTCCATACAGCTTCAGGGCCCTAGGGGACTTAGGATGAAGGGACACTGGAGCGGAAAGGAAACAGAATTCACTCTTTAGTTTGTCTGTTTCCATCAAGAAGGCCTGTGTTTTAAGTGTTTATAGAGAAAATCAGACATGCCTACTTCATAGAAGTTTCTGGTATCATGCCAGTAACACTGGTATCTTCAAAGTCAAGTCCTTGTTCCAGAATCATCTGCCCACAGCCAAAGCCTCCACATCCCTCACCACTCACAGCAGGTTGGTTTCCAATACCCCCAAGGGCCCATTCTCACCCAGCATGGGGACGGTGGGACTCCGGCTCTCCTCCTCAGAGCCAGGAGGCAGCTGCTCATCCAGGGGGGTCCATGCCTGCTTGGTGGACCTCAGGATGTCTCTCCTGCCCTTCTCCTGGCTTCCTTGAGATGTCTCCGCCATCATAAGCGAATAATTCAGCAAGCTAAATTAAACACACACACACATAATCAAATTAGACACAATGAGCTCAACTTTTGAACTTGGCTCACTGAGAGGGAGAAGACCAGAGGACTCACAGTCCACAGAGTGGACTCAGCTTCACAACGTCTGGGAGCCTGGCTCACCTGCCAGAGGAATTTCCTGTGTCAGTGCAATGAAGTTTCTTTCTCAATGGACAGCTGGAGACCAGGGACTAACATGGCTTCACCCGTCACCAGGCCACATCCACACTCTGGAGGATTCAATCTGGTGGCCTGGAGATGTGGATGGTGAGCAAAGAAACTGGACTGGAGGATGCACCCAGCCAAGGAGACAGTTTAAAAGCATTGACTAACATATAAGTATCCTCCAAATTTATCCAACAGTTACATCTATAACAATGCATTTAGGGACCCGAAATGTAAATAAATGAGGGCTTTGGCAAGAGATCAACCTGGCTGAGTCTCATCTCTGCGACTTAATTATGTGGCCTTGTGTAAATCATATAACCTCTTTGCATCCCCTTAGTTTCAACTGGGATAAATTGTACTGAATTTTAATAACTGTTAACCTAAGCAGAATACTTATGTGCTAGATTCTATGCTGAATGCTATAATCCATTATTTTATTTAATTGTCAAAGAAGGAAATAATCTTCTAGTGAATCTAAGAGCAGTGGGGTTAAACTGAATACCCAAAACCACACAAAACAACCAGATTCAAACCCAGGCTCTGGACTCCAAGCATGTTCCCGTGACTATTAAGCCACACTATGTGCCCTAAAGGATGGTTAGGACAATTAGGATAGTAATAAATATATTATGTACACGGCACAAGAAATGTATCTCGTCTGACCTTTATTCACATCATTGTGAGGCTCATAGGGTAAGAGAAGGAGACAGAAGCTTAGAGCAGCTGTGTAAACTGTTCAAACTTCCCAGACTATCAGCACATTGAGAATAAGGCCCCCCCTTTACTTGTTGATGTGTCAGTGTTTGACTAATTTCTCAGCGCATTGTAGGTATTGAATGAATATGCACACAGCTAAAGTAGCAAAGCTAGGTTTAGAAACCACAAAACCCTGACTGAATTCTTCCCATGGCATCTACCTGAATTTGCATTAGTCTGTTCTTCAAGTTCGGAGGAACGACCGAATAGTCAAATGCCTACTTCAGCAGTTATGTCCTGCATCCCCACACTTATGCATAATCACTGATCACGTGTCATACAGACAATCATTTCTAACCAGTGTTTTAGCAAGTCAAGTCATTCAGATTTATTATAAACATTTGAATATTTTTACTTAATTATAGATGAGTATTCTAGGTGCAGTTGGTAGTAAGGATCTTCTTATATGCTTTATATATTAAAATTCTGTTGTTCAGTTGAAATATAAGTATACAATTATTGTTGCAATAGTAAATTACTGCAAAAATTCATTGTGATGACTGTTAACTTTATGTTAAAAAAGCAATGGCTAAGAAATCTCAGTTAGTTAAAAATTAGGGCCAAGGTGGACAGTTAATATCTATATTTAGACAGTTTAGAAAGTTAATTTTAGGAATATCCCCTGGGAGCAAATGTTTACACAAATTTTGATGATAACATGAGACCAAAGTCATATAGAGAAAATTAATTTCTAAACTTCATAGAATTATTTGATATAGTAGAATTCATAACATGACAAAACAAAATTTAGAAACTACATTTAATTTTTAGTTATTTAATTTTATGTAGGCTTGGGGTTTTTTGAGTGAAAAGAAGTTCTCTGTGGCAATGTGTTGCATCCTGTGTGTGTGAATTATAATCAGAGCTTCAACTCTGACAGTGCAAAATTTCACAAGGAGGAAAAACTCCAAAATCATGCTCAACAACATTCATGAAAATATCAGACTCAATAAAGAATCAGGGTTTGAAGAAAAAAATAATGTATTACCAAAAAAATAGTAATATTCCCTCAATAATCTTGGACCTTCACTGGCCTCAGCTGAAGGTCAGTTTCTATTTAGCACAAAGATGTTGTGGAGGGGCAGGAGCTGTCAAGCAGCTCAGTCCTCAAAGTGCTGTTTCTGTATTATAATGTGGGATTTTCACCTAGCTGCCACTTTTTCAAACGTATCACTGTAAAAGTTATCAAAATTTTAGATAAATGTGTTGTTTTATTCGTTATGTCCCCAAACTTCCATTCAACGATGGCATGTGTGACCTCAGCCACCAGCCTTATACAGCCAGTGAGGCTACGCTCCCTGCCGGCTCAGACGTACTTGGCTTAAGAGCAGGAAAAAGCTTGCCAAGGAAAGTGGGAACCCTTGCTAGAAGCAAGGGTCATGGACGGGTTTGTAAAGGAAAACTCTTTTTGTTCCCACTGTTTTAGTGGATGTCTTCCCAGCTAGTAAACAAAGCTGCTTCTGGAAATGGATTCTCCGATGCATGAATGCCCTTGCTTTGGCATCCACTGGCTTGACCCTAGAGCAGTTCTTTGGAAAGGGACACATATCAGGTGGCTGCCCCCAACAGCCCAGTGAACTGACAGGGCAGAAGTTATGGCATGTGGCCTCTGCTGACTCCCCTAGTTAACCCTTGTGTCCCCAGAAACACGTGGAACCTAATTCTTGCCAACTCTGATTTGATCCAAAGTGAATCCTTATTCTGGATTATGTTGCTTCCTATGCCTGAGAGGCCCTCCTCTCTCTTCAGATCCCTTATATTCTGACTACCATGTCGTTAATCCTTATATGTATAAAGAACTGCCATTAACATGGGAAATTTCTTGTATTAACATGTTTAACGACAACTGAAAAGAAGGATGCAAAACTATATATGCACCAAGAACTCAGTTTTGTAAGAACAAAGCAAAACAATAAACAATGCATTGAAAAGACAACAAGAAATGTACTGAAAAGTTATCAACTTTTCAAAATTTTAAAAATAACCAAAATGGTAAAAATTGTGTTATATTAATTTTATATCAGTTTCTTTTGCTTGAGCAAATTCAACCACACATGCTCTTTTTCACTGTGAAGCTCTCAGCACACAGTGAAAGCACAGAATTTGATCCTTAGAGCAGTGACAATGATTACATTCTTGTCCTCTGGGGTTATTTAACTTTTTGCACCTCTGTGCAAACAGGTTGTTTATGCTGAAGAATAAGGAATGTGCTTTGTTTACCTCTGTGTTCCCTGTGGATCCCAGTGCAGCACTTTACTCAAAGTAAATAATCTGTAACTTATTATCAGTTGATTGCTTGGTTATTTGGGAAAGGAACATCCAGTCGGTTTAGCCAGCATTCATGGTTCCTATGTGGTTAAAAGAGCAAGTGGTTGGAGGTCAGATAACTCCAGATTTTAATCAGCTCTGCTGCTTTTCTGACATTTCCTTGGAACCTTTCAAATTCCTCCGATAATCTATTTCCTCACCTCTGTAACGAGAAAGAAATAATCATTTCATCGGGTTGTTGGGAAAATTTAATGAAAAACGTATAACAGGACAATCAATATGCTTTATTGCTCAGTTTTTCCTTTTTTATTCTCTACGTTGCCTCCTGTCATTGTCCTGGCAAGAGTTGTGAAGTAAAGAAGAAGGATCACCAATCAGTGCAATAGTTTTTCTCAAAGGAGATACATTTGACACTCTTAGTTTGTAGATAACCTGTGTCATCTTGAGATTACTTAGTTTGGATAACTGAGAAGTAGATACATTTGGGGAGTGTAAGAATAAAATATTTCTCTGACCATGAGAATGCAGACTAGTTAGAGACTCATATCAGAGTTTGGAAGTTCCTTTAACTATGGGCTTAATTTCAAGGTTATGATTACAGGCTGTAGCTCTTGGCCACCACCTCTGAACGAGCCCTGTGGTCAATAAGAGAACTTTATAATGATAGAACAGCTCCAAGGCATTCTGAGTCCACAGAGATCTCGCCATCTCTGTGTCTCCCTATAGACCCTCATTGTCACAGTCTCTTTTCAAGCCTTCATAAGATCTCAAATAGTATCTAGGCTTGTCTTGCTCCCCTCCATCCTCCATATTTAATGCCTTCCTTAGTAGCAGGACTTTCTTTGATATTGCTCAATCCCTTGCTAGCATTCATTTAAATAATCATTTATGAAATCATTAAGAATGGTTTGGTAATTAGTAGTTAAACAACTTATCAGAAGGTGCAACTTGCCGGGAATAGATATACAAAATCAGGGAATAATGTGTTGTGGATCTGAATTTTAAAAGTGAGAAGATTTCATACATGTATATGTATATGTTTATGTATATATATATTCACATATACACTTATATACATACATACATATATGTAAAACACCACCATTTTGAAGCAGCATTTTCTGTCATCACTTGATACTCACTTCTGACATTTTGACCAAAATTATCTGAGCATATACCTTTTTTTAACCTTCTCTTTTGAGTCTTCCAACAGCTAACAAGCAGATGAAAGATATAAACTCATCACCAGGGAAAAAATTTTTTTAATTAATCAACAAATAGTTAATTGGGTGTGTGATACTGGGCGTCTAGTTTCAAGTTGTCTTGGAATGTAATTTCTTCTTGCATAAAATGAGAGAATTGAATGAGATGATATAATTTCATAAGTTGATTATCCTATTTCTAGTCTCCACATAGATTAGTTAATATTTGACCAACAGAGCTCACATTTTAAAAATATTTTAAAGCTATATTCATCAAAACTAGAAAAGTGAAAAGAATAAAAATATTGTTCCTACTACTCATAGTTGGAAGACCACTCAAAAACTCAAGCAACAAACCCAAGCCAGGAATGCCCTTCTGCTCTTCTTCCCTATCCAAGTATCAAAGTCCCGCAAACACTTGCAAAGTTTTCCAAGTGATTCAGTGAAGTAGAGGCAGAGCCTGGGGAAGAGAGTGTTCTGTCAACACTCTGCTGGGAGGAACAAGCAGTCTGTGATGACTTGTTCTGTGGGTGGCTTCCTCCCACCATGAAATATGTGAAGGGTGCTCAATCCTGCCATTCAG